AAAGCATATATATAGTCCTAATTAAGGATACCGGATTGTTACAAAGGTAGTCTAAAATATGATTATTGCTAGCTTAGAGTAAAAAAAAAAGAAAAATATGAGATGGGAAAAGACAGAAGACCTTGTCAATATAAATGGTTGGAGAGAAATAATTCTACCAATATGACAGAAAACATTTTAAAATCCAATATTATGTAATCTGTGATGAATATAAGAATATGCCAGAAATTAAATCTGTGTCCAGGAGAAATGAAACTGTAATGCACAAATGAACACATAGGTAGTAAGTTCAATTTTAGTTCTATTTCTAAAAGAAGTCATAGAAGGATGAATTACTAGTACATAAGGAAAATGTTCAGACTTTAAAACACACTCTGACTGAGAAATCTATTCCTGCTCCATTTAAATATTAGCAGGCTTTTCAAAACTAATCTTTTTGATTTTCAGGACTTCATGCTGTGTGAGTCAATCCAGACCTCTCCTGTGTAAACCATTGGTAGTTATGTGAGCTAGCAAAAAGTTAAAAATGTATGAATCTTCTTCTGAAATAAACATTTGCAAGGTTCAGTCCTCTGCTTCCTAAGCATTAGAAGCAAATGGAGAGAAACGGACAAAAATATTTAAGTGTTATGCCACATTTAAGTATCTGCTTAGAAAAGGAATTACATGTAACCCTAAATCTCTGGATCAGGTTAAAATCAGGAAAGGCATCACTAGTAAACTTACAGATAAAAGGTGCTTTTTATTAGAGAATGAATAAAAATCTTCTAGTTTATGATGTATTTTTTAGTTACCTAAAGTGGGAAGGACTTACTGCTAACAAGAAATACGCCTTTCGTGGAAATCTACATTCACTGTAGTGTAACTGAAAAAAATTCAAACAGAAATTCTGACATCTGAATATTTCATCAATTTCTTACAGAAGAAAAATATTTTCTGTGATAGAATATCAGTACCGTGGTAAAAACTAGACAATCTACCTTAACGTTTTAAAGAAAAAACCCAAGTTAGACCTCAAGAAATCTGAGAATCCAGTGAAGACTGTACTTCCACACATATTCAGTTATTTCATTATAGTACTTACAAAATAGATTCATGAAAGTTAAAGGCTCCAGCAAAAATCACTTTATGAAAAGCATATATACAGTTTCTAAACTGATTGTAAAACCCAACCTGGAATACATTTAAAAACAATGCAATGCATTTATGCATTTCTTCTTTTAGAAAAGGGTATTTTTACACGAAGTGATGCATGACGAACCACTTACCAGGTTCCCCACAGAAAGGACACTACTAAACTGTTCTGTCATTGGATAATGTTCCATGGCCATAAACAAGGTGTTTAAAACAATACAAATAGTTATAGCAAGATCAACAAATGGATCCATCACAACTAAATTGACGACGTGTTTTACTTTTAACCATGGACTCCAGCAATCCCAGATCAAGAAAGTATTTGCAAATCTGTACCAGCATGGTGGGCATTTCTGTCTGGATTCTTCAAGCTCTGAAAAAAAAAAACCCAAATAATGACTATTCCAATTGTATCCTCTGGAAGTTCTTATTTAAAATAATGTAAAAAGATTAAACCATTCAAATAATCAGCTCACACTAACATGGGATTTCCCTCACCTATGTTTAGTCATCTTAAAGTTAAGCATCCGATTTATTTAAGCTTCTCTACAACCAGTGGACAGTCAAGTTATCTCTGAAGGGTGAATCATCTCAGACATCTATCTAAAGAGAGAAATGTGTTTGTCTCTTTCCCATGACAGTAGGGAGAGTCTAGACATTTAGTTTAGGTTAGTTGACTTGCTTATAGCAGATGTCTTAATTTTGGATATTAAAAGTTAACATGACTGCATTGTCAGTGAGCTGATGTATATAATTTAGCTTCATAAAATATAAAATTTTTGTGTTAAGCATGTAACATGCATATGTATTTTGATTGTAGCTACTAAAAGTATTATATCTGCTACTACACTGAACCACTACAATACCATAACAGATAAATGACTCGGTGTGCATACCTATCATTGCTTATTTGACTTAATATTTTTAATATACAGAATGCCTCTTTTCTTGTTTTAAAAATTATCATTTGACTTTGAAAATGTCTTGTACAGTTGCAGTGTCTAGTAATTGAGAAACAGAACAATGTTAGTATTAGCAGAACAACTCTGCTCTCAATTAGAATCTTTACAAACTATTTTTTTCTTCCATTTCACTGTCAATATTGTCAAAGTTACGGAAGAATAATAACTTCTGCTGAGTTAATAATAGCAAGGATGAATGCCTAATGGGATGGGATGTTTGAGGACAGCCCGGAATGAAGATTGATATTTGCTTAAGTGAGACATACTTAGGCTGCAAAATATGTAAGAAATGGCCACAACAGTTTCAATAAAATTTGTGCATAGTAGCATCAACCCAAATCTGAAATTTGTCAGTTTTCAGACACACAGGGAGTTGCCAGTTTTCCTTAGAGCACAGGGAGGTCTTCATCATCATGACATTTATGGGTGATTTTGCTAAAATAGCAAATAACAGTATTTGCTAATAAGGATTTAGTGCTAAACTCTCCACTTTGAGGACCAGTGGATTGGTTTTTGCCTCTAATATTGTCTTATATGGGTGGAATTATGGGAAGACAAAAGGTCAGTTGCCACAGCTCTCAAACTCATCAAAACTAACAAGCCCTCCCATTACATCAGGCTGTAGCCTCCTGGCAGAAAAGGGTATCGTACGTAGCAAAAGTCTTCTGTGATCTTTATAAACCATAACAAAGACAGAGCTTCCAAAGGAATATATGGATTGCGTGGAATAATCACATTTCTGAACATGTAACTCAGAATGCTGAAAGGTTGGATGGGACGTGCCTTGGACAAAAGTGGCCACTCACACTGGATGCTGAGTTGGCACAGAAGACTCCACTGCTTGCACTTAGCAACTTCTGAAATAATGGAAACCACATGTGGGTAAGGAGGTGACTATCAGGACAATGTAGTTTACATTGACATGTTTTTTTTCTGGCCAGAAGAACAGAAGGACAAGCTATTCAGCTGGAGGAAGAGAGCAGCACCTTCTAAGGAGATACCCTCTCTACCTGGGAGGAGAACTTAAATTCTTAAATTCCACACCGAGAATCAAGAGGTACCAACAGCTCACGTTTGCACTAAAGTAGGAAGATATACTCAGATGCATGTTTGTGAGAACGGTTTATGTATACTTTTAGAAGAAAATAGGTGATATGAGCCTTATATACAGGGCCTGATACAGGGCCACCCCATTGCCTCTCCTTCCTTGCCTATCCCTTCTGAAGAGTTTATAGCCATCCATTGCAGCTCTCCAGTCGTGCGAGTCACCCCACCACGTTTCCGTGATGGCAACTATATCATAGTTTTCCTGCTGCACAATGGCTTTCAGCTCCTCCTGTTTGTTGCCCATGCTGCGTGCATCAGTGTAGAAGCACTTCAGCTGGGCTAACAGTCCCACCACCTTTTTGCTGGGAAAAGCCCTAATTCCTACCTGACCATTCCCAGGCACGGCCAAAGCTTCAAACACATCAATAACCCTCACATCTCTGCTGCTGCATGGATCTCCATCCCCTACCTTCACTGAGTTAGCAGACCGAGGGATTTCACTAGCATACCGTCCCACAAACATTGGCATGCCATCTCCAGGCTTATCTCTAGAGATCCTGGTTTCATCCCCTCCCCCCTTCAAATCTAGTTTAAAGTGGTTTTGATGATGCCTTCCAACTCCTGCGCCAAGAACCTTTTCCCCCTTTGAGACTGGTGTACCCGTCAGTCGCCCGCAGGCCTGGTGTCACATAAACCAACCCATGATCAAAAACCCCAAAGTCCGGCTGCTGACTCCGGGCTCAGAGTCAGGTATTGACCTGCTGGCTCTTGCAGTTTCTTCCCTCGCCATTCCCTGTAACTGGAGGGAAACTGAAGTGTGTGTGTACTCAGTTTCCATTAAATAAGCAAAGCTATTCCAGCAACGTATGCTTTTTCATATAGCAAGTATAATACTTTTTAATCTTTGATATACTTACCTAAGAAAGTTTAAGGAATGCTTAAGGAAGGCAGTTCATGTGCATTGGCATGGGTTGATTACAGTTGGTTGTTTTCCTTAAAACTATCTTTCTCATTCCAATTTCCTATTGTCTATCCTTGGATTTTAAGTCAAAGGGAAATGACTGTTCTAGCACATCACTGCCTTTATCATAGCAATTCCTGTGTATCTTAATTGATTTTTCCTATTGATGTTTTATAGGAAGAAGATCCCTGTATTCTGTGTTTGCGGGTCTGGCAATCCCCTAGCTATGATTATTTTACCTCTATTAGTCTATGCAGTAGAGTAATATTTTGGAAGGTGTCATGAAAAATAAATGACTAAGCATTTAGAATGTGTAAATGATCTTAGAAATGCTCAGAAGCCTTTTGTATCTGATGTTCAGAGATTTCACATGTCCAGTTTTACATTTACAACGGAAATTATGTAAATCATTGCTCTGTACATGTAGTTAGCAGAAACTGCCTGTCAGATAAAATGCATCAAATACCTTCCATTGTATTTGTAAGTATGCTGGCTATACTCATTGCTCTTTGTCTTGCAGCAGAATCTTCCAGCATTTCCATGGAAATTTGATAAGAACTCAGTCTTCTTTTTCTTATTTCTGTTTCAGTAGTGGTGCCCTGTAAATGAAATACTGAGGAATTAAACCATCCTTTTCAACAGCCAGCTAACAATATCTACTGTGTTAATATTTACTGTGTAAATATTGTAGTGATAATCAAAATCAGCTATGTGCAGAATACTAGACTTTTCTTACACACTGAAGGTTTCTGGTCCTGTAGGAATTTCTTTGTTCTTTATTGAGGAACTCAGTGGGAATTTTGTACAGTGCCAGGAATAATCAATGGGGGGACACAATACCAAGGCAATGTGGGACCAAAGGTGGTTCTCATTTAAGTGACCGAGTGAACAAAGTTTTTGCTAGGTATCTTTTTGCTAGTGATTAGTTTTATTCTTTCAAGAAAAAATGATCAAAGTTGAAACCTGTCACCTTAATTTCCAGCCACTAGTCATGTTAAATAATTAAAGTGAGAGTACAGAAAGAAGTGAACTATTATTGAAGAAAGTAACTTTGATACAAGAAACATGAGTATAATTCTTGGAATGAATTATCTCTCTAATACTGTGTACCGCATTCCTAATGTGATAAGCATGGTTGGAAAAATTTCTATGACAAAAAATCACATCTTATTAAATATTTCTGCTACCTAATTTTCACCCACCGCAATGCTCATACAGAATTTGTGATATGTTCTTGCAGTAAATATGCAAGTCCTCTCTGTTTGGCTTCTAATTATCTTTTCAAAGCAATAATACCTGGCTCTGATTTAAATGTGTCTAACGTGTTACCACTCTGTAGCATGTAGGTGTCCTTACAGTTGCATTGCTTTTCTGCTGGAGTGTGGCCTAGGGATCTAAACACAGAAGTGGGATTAAAAAGTTCCTAAATCTCGGTTCCTGCTCTGCCACTGACTCTGTGATTCATGGAAACCATTCATTATTCTGTCCCCATCCAAAAAAAGAATAAAAAGGCCTGCAGAACTCATAAAGGATTTCACGGTTATCTTAGCGTGAAGATGAAAAACCATTTTTGAGCATTTGCTAGTACTATTTCTTTAGAGAAGACTCTTGAGTTAAATAGCTAAATCTTTTTTTCAAGTGAATGTATTTCTGAAATAGAACTATATAGGCATAACCTCTGAGGCAATCTGATTGAATTTCTGGTATGAAGGTCTATATCAAGATAGGAGAGAAACAAAAATAAAAAGAAGTGCGTAAGAGTAGTAATGAAATCTGAATACTTATTTATAATGAAAATATTTTTCAAGTTAAATACAGTGCTATTATTAACACCAAAATACCATACTGAATCCATATTAAAATACTATGTATGAAAAAGCTTGCTTTTTTTAAAGTTTGAAAGAACATCTTAGCTTACAGAAGTCTGAAACTGAGACCGAAATGTAATGTAATTGCAAAGGTACATAGGAATTGTATGTCTTTTTCTCATGACAGTTATGAGAAAAATTGCTTCAAGATAAATTCAGTAAGGGGTATTTCTGTTAACCATCATGAGAATAGTAACTGCATTCTGCTTAATTTTGCAGGTGTTTTCCTATACATATTTCCAAGTTATATTCCTTAGATGAGGTGAAACTCTATACAAATTGTGAAATTCAGTTTATGGGGTTTTTTTCTTTCTATGTGCAGATCTCTTGCTGAAGGCAACGAGAATATAATACTTTACTGAGGCTCAGACATAGGAGGTTAAGGACTTTTTTTCCCTTATGTTCTGTTATTTAGAAACTATTGCAAGTTATTTCTCACAGCTGTAAGAAATAATAAGGCATCCAGAGGTGAGCAGTAAGAAATAATTCCGTGCCTGAACCAAACTGTAATAATTACTCGTTTATTTATGATTACCTCTGGTATAAGCTGACCAGTAGGTGAAGTTAGAGTTGAAGGTCCTCCAACCAAGGAAACAACTCCGTTGCAATCCACAGTGCTGTGCATCTTCCCATTTACTGGAAGGGCTGGTACCATTCTAGATGACACACTCGCCTGACTAATATTACTGTTGCGCCGTTCTCCATGTCGATTTGGAACAAAGAGAGAATCTCTCCTGCTCTCATTGTCTTCCAGAGTGCTGTGCTCATCATCAGCAAAGTCATTTTCAGATCCTATATCCTTTGCACGACCTCTGAAACTGAAAATGCTTGTTTTGCTGTTGCGCCTTGGTGAGAACAGGGAACCACGAATACTTAGCAAAGACTGCAAAAGATTTAAAACAAACCAAACCAAAACAGCATTAGAACTGAGATTCTAATTTCTTGGCTTTTTAAAGAATAGTTACAGTGCTGGAGGAAGGATAGTCTCTTTTTTTCTTCAATACCATCAGTGTGTCCATTAGGGGAATGTGCTCCTTAGGGGACCTGAGGTAGAGGGGAAAAACTCTTTTTAAGGTAACGTAGCAGGACTCTCTTACTTTTCTTCCCTTCTTCACCCCTGGATTCCTAGGGATAACAACTGGTAACGCTCACCGATTATTGTTTTCTATTCTATTTGCTAAAGGCAGAAGTGGTCTTAAGTTTGGTATTAAATTCAGTCTCAGTTGATGTAAAAAACTTGTCTGCCCTCTTCACAATAGGCTCAATAGCGTGGGAACAGCAGACGCAGTACTCTGAAACTAGAAGACAAAGGCAACAGCTTGGGGAAGCTCTGGAGGTACAGCGTGAACATGCCTAGTAGCGCTCGGGCATAGCACTCCGGGGGCTATAGCAGGCTGCACACCTACCAGAAGGTACCACTTGGCCATCAGGCAGCTCAAAGCAAGCATTCACCAGGGACACAGTTACCTAAAGATATCCTCTTACAAACGAGAAAAATAAATCAGTGGTTGTTGGTAATTCATCTTTTAATTACAGTAGAAGCTGGTTAATGGAATGTTCTTCTCCCTTGCTACATATTTTATTAACAGCATTCATGAATAAATAAAATGAGTACTAATTGTGGAAAAAAGAAACATTGCATTAAGCTTTCTTCAATTCCGCATTTGTACAAATCTTCACATCTTGGTACATCAAAAACCTGGTTTGAGATGATTCTCAATTTTTCACTAGTTTTGCAGGTGGGAAGTACGCATGTAATAGCAGTGGTTGTTATCCCAGGGTAATTAAAGTGAAAGTGACAACTGCACTATAATGTATAAACCTATATTAATACTGTGAAAATGAAACACTGAAAATATACATGTATCTACATGATACATATGTATCTCTGTATATGCATACTCAGATTTATACATATACACACACAACATGTGTGCTGAACTGCTTATAGAGGCTGGCAGGTATTTACCATTATAAGATGTATGTTTTCTGCTCTTAAAGGTATACCAAATTTTAATAATTTGGGCTGAAATTTTCTATACTGGCTGTCAGCCTCACGCTGGGTTACTTGAAGAGTATCAGCCAAATGGATTTGCTAACCCATTTATGGAAACTTGGCTGGAGAAAAAGTGCTGTTTTGCTTATGCTGAAAGATAATTTTATCTAAAAAATAAAGCTCTAGCTGCTATAGAGAATGACACTGAATTCTGACCAAGTGCTAAACTAATTATTGCATCCTTTGTCTGTTTCTTTGTCCATGTATTTGGCCAACCTACAGTCCTTCAAAAAATCACACGCTCACTAGGTTTCGTCTGACTACTACTGCTACCCTTGTTTTTTTAGAGAATGTTTCCATGGCTGCTATGTTTTGTTTGTTGTCCAGTCTTTCAAGTGTGTGTTATCATGCTCTGAGCACAGCTAAATGGATCAGGCCCCTCAGGGATTTAGGAGGAGCAATGCCTGCTCTGAAAGTCCCCGCTGGATTGAAGCAAAAGATTTAAGCCAAAATGGCTGCAATTCTGACACATGTAGAGGCAGAAATATGTGTGTGCCTACATGCTCCCGGAAAGTAAAGTCTGAAAGGAAAGCTTGGCTTTTCTTGCAGGCTGCATCATTCATTTGCACATGGAATATTGTGTCAAAGGACTAAACCTCTACAGGAGCCAACCGGGCAGATTATCTCCTCTTACCACTCTACTGTGTTGTTTCATGCTCTGCCACCCTGTTTCACCAGGGAGCTAAGCACATGGCTAAGAAGGCAAAACAGCTCTTCCTTTACCAGTTCTATGCCCGTAATCCTTCCGCTCTTACGGCTGCTCAGTTTTATTTCAGTTATATGCAGGCAACGTATGCCCCACAGCATTTTTACAACTGCAAAAACAATTACCAAGACAGTCTTTCATTAATAAGTTATCCTCATTTAGATTATTTACTTGATACAAGTCTCTTCGTGTTTTAAAATTTTAAATTAATTTAAAAAAAAAATATTTCAGATGGTCACTTATTTCCTCCCTGCTCTGTAATTCATCATGTCTCAAGATGAGCTGTTTCCTGTCTATTGCACCATTTCCTTCTTTTCTTTCAAATCTAAGACATATACAATATTTGTTTTCACTTGATTTTAATGGATTTTAATTATTTATTCTGCCACATGAATTCACATTTAATTTTAATGCTATCAAAAGTCATTTGAAATGCCTTGCTTCTTAAGTTTCTGTGAAAGTTTCACAGTTCTTCACGACAATTGCCAGGATGAAAGCTTTCTGGGAGTTTCAGAGTATGAACAAATACATGCAACAATGCTTTACTGTATGTTAATAAAACTACGGAAAGTTGATTATCTATGGAATCTCTTTGTCTCATATCCTCCTCCCCTTAGTATACATGCTTCTATATTAAGTGGGTTTTTTTCTGTGAACCAAAAATATACTTAATATAAACATAATATACTCCTTAATCAGTCTCTTCACCAGAAGTATATAAAAGAGCATCGGGGAATTTAGACTGGAATTTAGACAATGAAGAGGCCTATTATCAAGCAGTATAAGTACAGGACTAGAAGTCAGAAATTCCTTTCTGCTCAGACTTTGTCAGTGATTCTTCTTTAGTGTGCTCAAGTTACTCACCATCCTCATCTATGAGGCACAGAGACATACATATATATATGAGAGACAGAATTGTGCAGTCTATGATGAGATCTTTGGCTCCAGCTCCTTTGCATCAGCCTGACTCAAAGTCCATTCCAATTATTAAGAGATTTTTTGGAGCAGCTTTGGCCCAAAACTAATAGTTAATTTTATTAGACTGGAAATACACTTTTACAATACTACTCAGAGGAGTTGAGATGGATTTAATTATTTGTTTTTCTTTTTTCTTTTTTCTTTTTTTATTTCTTATCCCAAGAACAGCCTGGTCATTCTTAATTATAAGAACCATTACTTCACTTCCTTAGAAATGGAAATGTATCTTTTATCATCATCCCTTATAATTGACTAATTACTGAGGCTTTGCCTCAAATTAAGCTTTCCTTCCCTCAGTGAATATATTTCAGTGTGAAGTATTTCTGCCACTGAATCTCATATTTTATATCAGTCTGTAAACTATCACACTTGATACAAACATTAAATAGGATAATCGTTGGTAGTTAAACATGGGTAGTATTGGCAGCTAAATGTCATCTGCTGGCTGAGACCAGACACGATCATTTTGAAGAGATGCATTTTGGGTGATTTTTCTACAAATACCATAATGGTGCGTAGTCTTGAAATAAGCAAAGATATCCTTAAGCGACAGAAGACATCCTTTAATTTAAGGGAGTAGAGCTTTGAAATTTGGATTAAATGGTTTCCAGAGGTCCTTCCTAAACTACTTTTTTCTATGATTGCAATGATTCTCCGTCTTGCATAATGAATTTCTAATGAAAAAGAACAGTATGACTAAATTCTTATAAATACAAGCCCAAACTATCCCTATATGTTTTGTCTTTATTGTGGAGTAGTAGAGCTACTTTTCCTATTATCTACCATTTAAAGAAGCTAAATAAGGAAAGCAAAAGAAACTAACAGTAGTGTGGAATTTCCTATTCAGGGTATTTTGATGATGGGGTCTGCTAAAACCCCACATATTTGTATAGTTTTGAAATGGATGTAGAACAGAGAACCTATGGTTGATTAATGCAAATATATGAATACTAATCAAAGAATCTTTGATTCTTTCTCCAATCAACCAGATACATCTCCAGAAACACATTTTCAGAAATGTTTTAATTAAGTTTACAATTATCCTTGGTATGTTCTTTTTATCCCTTTGCTAATAGAATGGGTCAAACCATATCAAACTAACGCTGTTAACAGTACTACCACTGGTTTTTTCCTTCACTCATCTTTTACATAACTTCCAACATGTAAAACTGCTGTGATGTGAGTCAAAACCAAATTAGAGTAGATGAACATGCTTTAGTAAAAAAAGAGTGCTGTACCTGGTGGGGAGATGTGAACTTTTTTTCATATGTCAGTTGACTTCCTTCTGTGGAGAAGCGAAAACTTTTCCTTCTGATGCTGTCTTCTGACTCTGACTTGGGGAACTTATCGATATCTCCTTTGTTCTCTGCTTCAGACATTTCTTTTTGTCTTCTTTTCTTCCTTCTGTTTCTTCTTTCTTTAGCACTCTTTGAGCTCAACTTTGATGCTTCTGAAGAACTTTCCAAGAGTTCTCCTAATCCCCCTATACCACTGAAATCTCTTGATGCAACTGATGCTGCTGCTACTGCTGCTGTTGCCTGTCAGGTTACAAAGCAAGGTATTCTTAGTAAGCCAAAAATGAACAATTTTATAGATTTCTATCAACTGGTTTTATTATCACTGTATTAATACTGCTGGTTGTACACCCTTGAGTATGCAAATATACAGAAACAAATTGAACTGCGGATAAACTACTGAGTTGTATAGCTCCTCATTGTTTAGTAGCATGAGCTACTTGAAGCGTCAACTTCAGCAGAACAATAGCATCACTATTCCTTAACGACTTGCTGCACAAGACACTGGTCTAAAATTATAGTAGTCAGAAAAGTAAAAAACATGGGGCTTTGTATTTCAGACCCAATTCCCCATTTTCTCCTGAGAAAAGCCCCATATCGTGCTCTAATTCAGCTGATTAATTCTGTGTCCTTAAAGAGAAAATTAATCCCTAACATCCACCATAAGAGTTAACGTATCATAATCCAAATAGCAGCCTGCAAGTAATTGAGTCCAGCCTTTCCCCACTGTCTTCACAGCAAGGACACTCCCCTCACTTCCCTTCTACCTTCACTGGCAACAGGCATACCCTCTAGACAAGTCTTCAAGCCCTCCATCCCTCTTCATGTTTGCCCTTCCACATTTCCCACTGTAGCAGCACTCTAGGTCTTTCTTATAGACAGAGAAAGGTAAGTTATTGCCTGTTGCTGCTGCAGCCAGAGAGAAGAAAAAGTTTAGGTTTCTTCTCCGATGGAAAGGGATGAGATTACTTACTGGAGCAAAGAGCCATCCCAAAACTCAGGACCCATATCTTCAACTACAGTGGTCAGCCTACCTGATTTGGTTCATTAGGGAAACCAGTTCATTTAGTCATCAAATCAAGGAAGAACTGAAAGTGTGTCCAGTACTTTTCCCAGAAAGAACTGTCTGGGAGTTTGCTATGAGACTGTGCAGTGGGAAATCTGATTGGGAAGCTGATAGGCTGCTGTGAGCTTACGAAAAAGGGTGGTGTGAGAAATGGCAAGAGACTAGGGTTATATAACAAAGATGACTGGTAATTATCCAGCAAAACATATTATATTCAATGCACAGTATTTCAGAAATGATGAGACATCTCTCTACAGCAGGAAAGGATAGTTTGAAAGCTCATAGTATGAATTAATGGCTTCCTCTGCCACAATATACAACCCATGCCATACAGGTTGACTTGACACAGACTTCTTCTGCTAAATACAGTATTAAAAGGATTCTGAAGTGTTTATCAATTCAAAAAAGTGATAGTCGAATTTTTTTTTATACTGGTTTCAGAATATCGTCCTTCAAATGCTCTAACAGAGACAAAGGCAGCAGATGTCACCACCTGTCTGCTTCATGATACTAACACCAAAGATCAAACAAGTGAAGCAATCCAAAGACCGCTGTGATGACTTTGGTTTGTGGATGAATAGGTTGAGTGTCGAGGCAGTGAAGAGATGGGTCCCGCACTCATTTACATCTCAGCAACCAATTCAGCAGCTCAGTGATCCACCTTGTAATGCATACTTTCTGCAAATATTTTCACATACAAAAGGGATCTTGACTGTCATACTGCTTTTCTTATAATGAATTCCATGGTCATTCATTTTAAAAAGTAACAACATTCCAGGGCCTTTATCCAACCTTCCACATACTCTCTGTTTCATATGATTTTCTTCTTCTTCCTAACTCTGGATCAGCTTTATCTCTGTCCCCACTCTCAAACACGCAAACATCTAGATGAGCCTCCTGATATCTTTTGATATAATGTGATTTAGTCCCTTTCATGGATTAAAAGATCAGATATTTTTTTTAAAAAAAAGTACCCTTTGCTGATATATAACTTTTTTAAAAAAATTTGAATTTTGCAGGATTCTGCATTTTCTTTAGTGATTTCGAAGTGATAAGGTTGAAAGACTAAAATAGATACACAGGTCATGCATAAAACTTTCTATTCAAGAAAAAGGTGGAGAGTTTCACTTTCTATTAGCACTTTAAAGAATCATTCGTAGTAAAAGTAGCTGTAAAATACTACCAAAACTATAGTTTCATAGAAGATTCTAATTTGCTAGCATTTCATAAACATTGTCCTGTTGAAAATGACTATATGCCAGAGGAAAAGCAATAGAAAATCACTCCAGAAATTAGAGAGACTACTGATTTATGGAGCTGAATTCCTGCATATATTTTACTTTCCGATAAGAACAAGGAAAACAAAGATTACTTTAAAAGAATTCTGAAGTAATGCCTTTGTTATAAATATTGCTCGTCTCTTCTAAGGATATACAAACTTCTGACTGACTTCAGTGTGCTTGAATTAGGGATATGCCTAAATACCTTTCTGGATAGAAACCTAAAAGAACACTGCTTACAATCCTTCTCTCTATTTCCTGAGTACTGGGGAAGAACTAATAAGTACAAGCCTGGTAATTCTCACCCAGACGGTAAACCAGAAGTAACGTCACTAGACTTTTTTCATGCTGTTCATAAGACCTGTAACGTAAAAGCATCATGAACTATGACTACTTAAAGTCAGGTTTCTAGGACACTCTTATCACAAATATTTCACTTTTACAGTCTTTTGGCGAACTTAGTAGCATTTTTTTCTGTACCATTAGCTTGCTTTTTTGCTAATCAGTTAGTTCCTGATTTTCTTTGGCTATTTCCACTTTTATAACTTGTGTGGTAAACAAGACTTTTTTCTTTTTGTAATTCATTGCATAATTTATACATATTCTAGTTCATAAAAGATTATCGTCTTTGCATAAAGAATAAGTCTGTTCAGAAAGTACAATTTCCGTCATTACCTGAGCTTCTTCTTGTTGCTTCTTTAGTTGTTCCAGCATCTGTTGAAATTCTGCCTCTTTCTGCTCTGCTTCTTCCATGGTTGCTTGATTCTGTTCTTCATAGGCCATGGCGACCACAGCCAAGATCAAGTTGATCAGGTAGAAAGAGCCCAGAAAAATCACCAGAACAAAAAATATCATGTATGTCTTCCCAGCAGCACGTAGTGTCTAGGGAGTAGAAAGCATATCTATATATTATTCCACCACTTACCTTTGTCACTGCAACAGCATTATGCTTTCAGCTTATGTACAAATAAGCCTACTTATATCACTTTGTGTGTCACCTACAGTTTACATTTTATGTCATAAAAATTTCTTACCAGCTGATACAGGTTCTCCCAGAAGTCCTGAGTCATTAGCCGAAAGAGTGACAAAAAAGCCCAACTGAAGGTGTCAAAACTTGTGTAACCATAGTTGGGGTTTCTACCAGCTTTCACACATATATATCCCTCTGGACACTGCCTATGTGAAACCCAAACAGGAGGTACTTAGTTATAACTTTTATTTCCTTCTAGAATATATTTGTTACCTTTTGGAACAATATGCATTATTTTTCCACAGGAAATCCATGAATCACAATTTAATTCATTCAGAAAAAGTCCTGAGAAACGAACTAATAAAAGTGTAAATGAAAGATACCCTTTCCATCCGTTCACTGGTTGAAATGACCTAAATATTTAAATTCTCCTCAGTCACATTTTGCAAATAGAATCTTTATTCCAAATGAATAATTTCCTGACAGAAATAATGGCTAAAATGTTGTTAAGGTTACAGACAGATTAAACAATATTATTAGCTAAATCCAATTGTACTGTTAGGGATCTCCCCCATACTGAGATTTTTTTTTCTTTAAATAAGCTTCTTCACTGTTTCCAGTTAGGTATCTGAGTTCAGCTAACAATTCTAGGCTCATAACTGGGCACATGTGTATGGCAGAATTTGCCAGTAATGAAAAAGAGTTAGGCTTGAAAAAAAAGATTTCAGCCTTGAACTATGAAATCAGTACTGCGCTTTTTACGTATTCTCTTTCTCAGTTCTAACCTTTGCTTTCACCTTACTTTCTTCAATCAGTACATCCCCAAAATAGTCTTTACAAGAGTTCAGATTTTATCATTAACACCAACACAATTTTCCAATCAAGCAGGAAGAAAGGCTGTTAATGAGTATTTTGTTTAGCCAGAGAGTAAAATATTTTGACTTAAGTAAGAAATCATTGTTTAGCAGCAAAACTCTTTAAGTTCTGTAACACTGCAAAATATGGAGTTGCAACTACTACAGATAGGTTTCATGTTATTGCTTTTTCTACAGAACATAACTGAGGATTTTTGAAAAAGTCTTACCCTGCATCAGAGCTATTACCACAAAGTAGGGCATCTCTTTGTCCTTCCAAAATGTAAAAATGTGCTGTGTAGAAAGCATTAGAAATATATGTGAATAAATCAAATGCACCTGAAAGTACTACAAAGCAGAATAAAAACAAATTGTAAGAAACTCAAAGTGGCTAGCTTCTGATCACTTTGTAATTTGTTTACGAACCCTTCTGGTTATTGTACTTGTTTATTGTATGTATTTGATCTCTGTCAGTCAGTAACTGTAAACAGTTCTACATAAGGCAGAAGTATAAACCGTTCAATATTCTTTGCTTGATCACAGATAGTTACATACTATAGCCACAAATATATTAAAAATAGTTGTATCATTCTTACTTTCATCCTCAATGTAATCCTTCCAGTTAAATGTGCTCACTGTCATATTAACAAATGTACCATTTTCATCCATTGTGCTATTAAAGTAGGAAATAACATTTATTTCAAAAGTCGAATTGTCTGGAGGCCACTGCAGGCATTTATTCCTCAAGTTGCCCATGAACAGCTGAAGCCCTATTAGTGCAAATACACTCAGACAAAATACAGTCAGGATCATAACGTCCGAGAGCTTCTTCACAGACTGGATTAGGGCTCCTACAATAGTCTTTAGGCCTGCAAAGAGAAAAGATCCACAGATTTATCAAAGAGTACCTTTGCCCTTCCCATATAATTTAGATGTCATGCAGACACTTAAAATAAATTATCTTTTGTTTCTCAAAAAGTAAAGCTTCATGAGCAGCCTTGGAGATTGTGAAGATGAATGAAAGGAAAAGATTATTTTTTATGAATGTACATATATTCCAATAAACTGAATATATAATATTATTCTCAAGCAGGAAATTTTATCAATCATGCTTTCCTGATATAGATTTGATTGTATTTCTTAACTTTTCTGTGCATTTAATATTCTGCCAATGATTCAGTTTCCAGTTAATATTAAATATGACTTCACAACAGTATGAAGATAGAATGAGATAGAATGGCAAGTCATTTTGAGAGAAAAAAATAATATTAAATATGACTTCACAATAGTATGAAGATAGTATGAGTTATAATCGCAAGTAATTTTGAGGGAAAAATACCATTTGCATTTGATAAATTTTCCTGTGCAATATTTATCTCATTTTTGGTAGCTTTTTTGTTGATACTTGGTTGTCTTTAAGAGTAATGTCAATTTTAAGTGGTAAAATAAAGGAAAAAATTCAAAATCAAGAAAGCCATAGCGCTAAAGCTCATTTAATGTAAAAGAGACAACTTGTTATAATAAAATGCAGAAAAAACAAAGCAAAATAACCCATAGGCCTCATATTTTATATTTCATGCAAGAATCTGTTAAACTCAAAGGCTGATTTTGCTAAATAAAAGAAGCTAATGATGGAAAGGCAAAGAATCATAATCCAGGGTTATGATCCATGCCCTTTTTTTTTGGTTTTTTTTGGCAACACGAGCAGCGAACAGCAAGACTTATGCTCAAAGGAAGTGAATTCAACTTCAATGGAATGAAAGTCAGCCTCGGTGTTTAACCTCGCTCTCACCTGGAATGACTGATATTGTTTTCAAAGCTCGGAGAACTCTGAATGTTCTCAACGCTGAGACATTGCCCAGGTCCACAAACTCTGTCACATATCTGTAATAGGGGAGTTCACACACAAACACAATGACAGCACACAAATAACAATCGGAGTTATGAGGGGCCTAACACCTTACACCAACTACTTCTTACCTGGGATTACAGAAATAGTTTTCAAAGCTCTCAATACTCTGAAAGTTCGAAGAGCTGAAACATTGCCTAGGTTTACAAATTCTGTTACATACCTGTAGGATTAAATCACAGTTATTCAGAATTGAGGCAGAGCTTATACTAATTACGTGGGTCTTCAAAACCACTGTGGCAATATTAGCAATCATACTTCAAAATTTACCTGTCTCTTCAGTACACCTCACTTTTATAATTCTTTATTTTCATCAATTTTGCTTAAACTTCATTGAAGCGAAACTCACTGATTTGTATTTGAACAGCTAATGAAACTAGTTAGCTTGTAATAGGACAGTGACATGAAGTCAAAGGGATGGCTTCCATTCTGGTTAGCAGAAAAATGTAGGACATGAAATTAGTGTCCCTCAGCAGTAATTACACTAGCGGCTGATACTCTGTGCTGGCTCCTGCCATATTTTACTTTAAGTACTGAAATGTGTGATACATTGGCTAAACCTCACAGGTTGCAGAAATTAAATACTTGTAAATCAATATATTTATTACAATAATATTTGCCACTAATTTCATGCCCTAAAAGTTAAAAAAAGTTCTTGAACCACTTACGCCATTAAAATGACACTGAAGTCAAGCCAGTTCCATGGGTCTCGCAGAAAAGTAAAACCTTCTAAACAGAAGCCCCTTGCAAGAATTTTGATAAGTGATTCAAAGGTATAAATTCCAGTGAAAGTGTACCTGAAAAGCATCGAAGCAGGAATAATGGATTTTTGCATACTTACACTTACAGACAGTGACATTCTATATCAAAGATGACTTACAAGAAAAGAAAATAAAAACTATTTTGAAGTGAAAGGAGGAAATCATTAATTTAACTTGCCCCAAATACTAAGAATGTAATTGTCGTTCAGTAGATGAAATTTGAACCCAACACGCATATACTATTCATTTTCTAAAAGGCTGATTTCATCTCAGTTTTTGCGCTTGCAAATAATTTCAGACTCTAGTATTTATTGATACATTTCAGACTTTGATATGTATATGTACATTTTGTGGCACTCACAGGGCTGCCTCTTTGCTTGCATTCACAAATCAGGTAGATGTCTAAGTGTTACAAAAAATTAAGAAATTTTTTTAATGTCAAAATTGGAGAGCTTTGTGAAAATCACTTCTAGATAATAACTATAGTCATGCCTATAATACAGGTTTATTTAATAAATAATAATTAAATATAAGAAAGCATTCTTGAAGGTGTGGAGCATGATTACCAATTTACCTGGTGTGGGAACAACCATTCATTTTAAAACACATGAGAGTCAGTTACAACCAGCCTAATGCAGGGACTTTCTGAGACCCATGTGGGTCCAGGAGGAGCTCCAGAATAAAGGAAGTCTACCTACGGACCCTACTGCTCTCCTTTCGGACTCTCAGCTCCCCTAACAAGCCATAGTCACTGTTAAGCATACTGAGAAAAGGTGAATACTACAGCAGTTTCTAAACAGAGTATTCAGAGTAAGATTCTTTCATGCAGTTAGATAAATAAATAGAAATCAATAATGGCTATTGGAGAACAGGAGGGAATGAAAGAAACTGCAAGTGGTTAGAACCAGGTTTTTGATGAGTAGTATTATTTCAAAGAAAAAACATAATATTTCAAAGGAAACTGTGTATCTGTATTTTGTTAGAGAAAAAACGTGCATGCATAACCATGAACAAGAAAGGAAACAGAGATATTTTGTGGTTTCTTTACTTCTGTCAGCTCTTTGTTACTCCTTCACAGGTAACACCCTTTCCTCAGTGGTTTGAGTTCCTTGTGGTTTGGGTGTTGTGTGTGCTTGCTATGGCTGGCACTTGTGAGTTCACATCAGTGAGCCACCAAGAATGTCTCACTGTGCTAAGATCATGGGTACTTACGCAATATATGGCTGGCCTCACCAACGACATGCAACAATTTTACGTGCACATTTGAAGTTCTGGAGCTCCTTTTTCAATTTACAGCTCAGAACACCCAAGGACAAGAGCTTGCCTTTGTACTTCACCGTAGAAGTTCAGATATTCCTCAGACATAATTTTAAAGAGCAAGGCATTACTCTTAAACCAGTTAAATTACTTAGGAGGAAAGCAGAAAGATGATGATCTAATGGAATCTGATTCTTCATGACTCTGGAAAAGCCCATTCTGGCACGCAGCTTTCCATAAATGCTTCTTGTTTGGGGTCACACAAAACAAGGACATAAAAATAAAGAAGTAAAAATGTTTAACTTACTCTACATTCTTTGTCCAGTCTGGAGGGTTACTCATGGTCATAAATACACAGTTGGTCAAAATAGTGCACATGATAAGCATGCTGAATAACGTAGATTATAGTCAAGGCATGTAAGTCAAAAAAATATGACAGTTTTATAACACTGGAATCATTAAAAATATTAAGTGTATAAAAATATGTACAAATAACGTGACATTCTAAATAAAATTTGAAAATAAAGCTTTGCACATAATTTTATCTATTTTAAATGGTATGCCATCTGGCATGTTATGGTGCACGTACTGTAAAAAATACATTACTTCTATAATTATGGGAGGTGTAGGATTTAAATGAAACTTAAACACATCCTTAAGTCTGTAAAAATATGAAATGAGCACCTAAATGTCATCACTCATTGAAGCCAGGGGGATCACTCCAAAAGATCTTTAGGCAGAGGTCAGTTGTTTACGCCCAAGCCATTCTTTGGACATGATTGAAATATATTGGAAAATATTCTCCTTTTTTCTGACCTGGATCTTTTATAGGACACCTACCCCAATGCTGAAAAAGCATGCCTGAAAAAGCAGCTCTTTCCTCATGCTCTTTTGTCCTTGCTAAGTGAGTCAAGTTCATGAATAGTACTACTGGTCATGGTAAAAGTGTGACCTTAGATATGTTCAAGTGCAATGGTTTGTTACTAATTTGCCCTTAGCTGCAGGGTTTAGGATGGGATCAGGTCTCCTTTTGTATATAAAGCCTGATATTTAAACACTGACAGCTTTAGGTGGTTCAGTAGAGAAGTCTCTCAGTAGGAACGAAGACCGTACTGCAATTCACATGTAATATTGCAGCTTTTTAAGTGTGACCAGCATATGTTTAGTTAGCACAGGACACCCACACAGACATAATTTGTATATCCATATGAAAAGTATTATCTATGATTCTATGATTCTATTTCAGTAATTAAATAGTTTTAAATGGCAACCCTTAAATCAACATTAAGAAAAAAGGATATGAATGTACCAAAACCTTGATAGCAATTTTTCTGATGGGATTAAAAGGAGTTAAAATGTACAAGGCAGATGTGGCACTGAATCGGAAAATTGCCTTCCCCTTATTCAATACTATGAAAGTCTGCAAAAAAGAAACACAAAATTAAAATACAGCGTTGACTACGTAATTGTCTTTACCTCCTTCTAAAGGATTCCATTCTCGGCCTGGGAGGTTCAAGTTCCATTCTACTGTCTACCTGTGGTAGGAAAATAACTGATTTCTATGAACACAGCATATTAAGCCCTCCACAGCCAATTCTTCACTTTTTAAAATTTCCCAGCATGTGGACTGAATTCTGATATTATTAAAATTGGTGGGAATTATCATCACCAATGCCAGTTTATCAATAACAGCAAAACGCAGCATTTCATCACTAAAATATTTTCAATTTTATTTCTAACAAAGACTTTGATTAAAGTCAGAATTTCAAATTAATCAAATGCATTCTACCCTGTGAGCAAACACTAACAAAACCAAAACAGCAAAAGGGCAATTCTAAACATCAGTTTGTATTTGGAACAAATACTTGACAGAATTATATACACATATATATGGTGACAAGGACAAACACCTGTCACTAAACAATTAACCACAATTTTTAAATAATTTTGCTTTCATTTTAGATTTTTAAATACTACCAATATAAATTATATGCATCTTCTAAAAATGTATCTGTGAAAAAATAACAGGGGTTAATAAATTGCCAGCTGACATCATTCTGAGCAGTCTGAAACAAAGGCACACCAGAATTTGGCATCTTATAACAACAAATCTTTTCTTCAAAAAAATGCTGTTTTCATTTTTAACAATATGCTCTTATTTTCCCTATATGTAAGCACCAAATTTAGGTAGTTGCTATCTTTTAAATTTTGACCTACAGTTCATGTTCGCTTTCATTCTGATCCTGTTGGCGGTCATCGCCTAAGTGTTTTCATTTTTATTCCAAGTGTATTTGTGTGTGAGGTTTACTTGCATCTTTGGTGCTGTTTGAAATTTCTTCAGGGCATGACTATTCTTCATTCCTTTTACTCTTTGTCAATGGTAATGGTTCTGCTTTGTGTTACCATAATAGAGTCTTTGTTACGCTCTCAGCAGAGCTATATAGTATCACTGTTCTCCAGGTTGATTTCCATTCTCTGTAAAAACTGGGCTGTGATCAGAAAAATGCTGCCCTCTCTGTGGCCTTTACTGCCTTTACGGCCTGGTCTGCCGTCTCCGGAAGAGAAAGCACACCTCTCTATAGGGAGAAAGAAGACAGGTAAAGGAGCGTTGCTGGTGCCCGTTCACAGAATAACGGCAGGCATAGCATTGAGAATGACAGAGAATGGACTTACGCTCGTTGGCGTTTCTCTCTGCCCTACAGTCCTTCGCCCAGCTAGAAATGGTAGAAAGATGTTGCCTGTCCCAAGGTCACTGCTGCAGCTGAGCCTGAAGACAGACTCCAATTCACAGATGATTTTCTCTGCATTGACAAGTTGATGATTAAGAGTAGTTTCTGCTATAAACTAGAGGAGGGATGACTAATTCATCATTTAAAATGTCCATTTGTTTTCTGTTGAGCACATTAGGCTGGGACGTAACCTAAATACAGATGTTACCTGTGACAAAAGATTCTGCTGTTCACTAATTACTCTCATAGACTAATAAGTCCCTCAGTTGCTTGAGTTTTTACACTTTTGTTCCAAAAAATCTGACTTATTTTTCTAATCATTGGAGGTTAGAAAGTGTACTTCAGTACTTCTCAGGGTTTCTGATACTTCATTTGTAGAAGACTTGTTTAGAAAACTTTAGTCCTGAACTTATTTATGCAACTTTATGAATTGTTTTGAAGCTAGTCAAGAAAAGGGCTTAGCACACACAATTATATTGTAAGTAAGAATCTTCATGGAACTGTTGATATAACCAAACCCACATAAATGAAAATATCCCTTGGCAACACTCCCTCTCTGAGCTTTCATTTCTTCAAATTTCCTTAATAATGTTAATATTTGTATTATCTACAGTACTGTTTATTTAACTTTGGCAACTGTTAGCTTATGCAAGTACATATGGATTCTGCTTTACATTCCGTTCCTGTTACTGAAGCCATAATTTTTAAAACAATTTTGTGAACCACAAATTTAGCCACAAAATTGAGAGCACTATTGGCATGACTTTTTCCTAACAAACAAAATAACTTTCTTTACAGTTTAAGGTATTTTATGCCTTTGTTTTTTAATAGTTACTCAACATCAAGTTTCCTATCTGGATGGCAGCCTGGAATGCCTCAAGCATTACAGATATTATCCAGTTTACAGTTATTATCCACAGCTTCATCTTCCTTCACTCTCCTTACCCACAACATTTTGCACGTCTATCAGGAACTGGGAGAACATCTTGATGCTGCTAAAGGAGAGTGCAGAAATAAGGAGATACAGAGCAGCACCTGCTCCTACCATCAGCTGTACATTTTACTTATCTATGCAGGACATAAGGTATTTTTAACTACTCCCAGGCTGGACAATTTCAGATCCTGGAGGAATTTAATGCAGGCTACATCTAATCCCAGCTACGGAGATATACTTCTTTGTTCCTTGTCTTTCTCTTAAGTCATATAATATTAGTCTGTTTCCAGATGGTATGTATCATTGCTACAAGACCAAAGCCCACATACTCTACTGCAGAGCCTGACTTTTAAAAAGGTCAAGGGGCAAAGTTTTTACTTGAATGGATCTGTCTGAACTAGCCTTTCTATCTCCAAGTCCCTGGCTTGCGGATCATGTGAAAATGAGCACTTTATACGACTGTACAAATCAGAAGGGGAAGGACACCTCTTTTAGGAGTTTAAATTCTTCGTGTAGCACAACTATGCTATTAATGGTCCAGTTGTGTTATAGCCTTGGACATGTAACTCAGGCACATTACTTTTCTCTCACAACACAGAACCCTTCGCTCTGCTTTTTCTGCATGAAAAATCTCAATTAGTCTTCAGAACAACAAAACTGTTTTTTTTCGATTCCTTCCTCAAAACATAGCTCTTCTGTGGTGTCTGCCACATACTTCTAATTGACAGCTGTGCAGCAGAGAACTATCCTAGCAATCCCAAGCACCTCAAGCAACAGTTTTCATTGTGGTAGTTTTATACGACACAAGATTTACACGGAGTCTTTATATGCTAAATATATATATATAGAGAGATAATTTATACATACATATATAGATATATGTTTATATATGTTATATCACTATAACAGAATCAAAGAATGTGGTTGTAGTCCCTTATTTCACTAACTTGGATAGATGCTACCTTGTTATTTACAACCATCTCCACTGCAAAATCATGCTTGGAAAACCTTGTTTGTCATATCCAGTCTTACTGCTACATTGAAATCAGGAAAATTCAGTCATGTTCTCAAGTTCAGGCAAGCTTAAGGAAGCTATATCCTCCTTACAGTGAGGTAAATAAGAAGTAACTCAATGGAAGTTGAAGGACTCACAATATAGAAGAGTGTAAATCACTTCTGTTAGATGAAAGTATGTTTCTGTGTATTTAGTGGCTTGATGGCTCTAACCATCATATTTTGTGATTAAACTTTTCTAGTGTAGAAAATCATATTCTATTTTGTGCAAAAGATTATTCACTTACTTTTTTATTGATATAATATGGGTCCAGGTCTTCCAAAGGTTCAGACACCATTCCTGGAGGTATGTCACCGTAAATAAATGGCAGCGTCTTTCCTGCCTCCAAGTCACTGTTTGGTTTTGGACCATTTTCATCATCATCATCTGTATGTTCTTGCTTGGGCTTTTTAGCTTTTTCTTCTGCAGAACGCTTTTCAATAGCTGCGAGAGAATCTCTAGTAAAATAGCGGAAACTTTCAGGTCCTGGTGGTACCAACAGTGCCTGTGCCATGTTTTCATCCTGCAAATTTAAGTACTTTTAGCCTCTTGCATAAGAATGACCTATAAAAGAAAATTAGATAATTTAGGAAAACTAGATTGTACTGACAGAAAAACACCCCAGCATTTGCTCAGAAATGCTTTCCAGGCCTGAAATAGAAGCAGCATGTTTCAAAACGGAATAAAAGTTAAAAGCAACTGCTCAGACTTTATTTAGATATTTTATAAATTATTTTTCAGCTTTTCCCTGCTGGTGTGGAAAAAGACACTGCTTCTGCCCACAAACACTGCTTTGCCCATGTCATTAGACTCTCCCAGTTAGAAAATACTGATACAAGTGTTTTAACAGTATATCTCTTTTTAACAGCAAGTATAAATGCATATTCTATGAAGTACTCTTGAAAATTGTAAACCTTTTTTTTACTAGTTAATACGTTTTATCTTCCCAGATTTTTTCAAGTATCCGTAATCCAACTTTATAAAAGCAAATATTTTCATTAAATGAAAAAGAAGTTCTTGCATGATTAATGCTATTTAAATGACAGCAACTGAATTATGGGAGGAACAAGCATAATTCTTTCTTACTGACAGTTTACTGTGCTGAAGGTTAATGTTAGGTACCAAAGCAGGTTAGGTTGCATTTATTGACTGTCAGTGAGCTGTGAATCAAAGCCACAAGCCTTTTAGGTAAAAGGAAACAGGATGTATAATCAAGAGCAAGTGGGAAAAGAATGCTGCTCCTGTTTTTTTGCAAGGCAAGTGTCATAATAGTATTTCAGACTAAAACTAGTTTGAAATTTAAGACTGTGGTTCCCTATGAATGTCTTTGGCGCCAGTGCTGGCTGATGTTGTCCCTGCTGCTTTTTCCTGCTCTCTGCACCAAAATCTCCACTGCATAATACATCTCTTTTTGAAGCCCTGCAGTGCATCAGCTGAAAGTAACGTTCTTTTCTTTCTTCCAAGTCCTTCTGCAGCAGGACCAGTTGCCTAAACTGACACACTGCACATCACAGTGGAGAGGTTTGAATGGCTAGAGGGAGGGAATGGCAGAAGGAAGGTAGATCTGATAAAGGAGCACTGCCACCAAGTAAGACATGATAGCCTTATTTGATGACTACTTCACAAAAGGTTGTGGCATAGCATAGTAATAATTTTAATTATGACAAACAAGTTTTAAGAGTGAGTTTCAGTGCCTGAAATGAGTTCTAATTGTGTTTTCTGTATATGAAGACATGTAGCCTTCCCTATGTTACCTCATGAATGTGGAAGACCTGTATTCTGGAGTTGCCACATCTAGGTTTGAGCCATAATATTGTATTCACTTGCATTCATTCAATAGTCTTTCTCCTAAAGCTTCTTGCCTGTCTGAAGTAGTTTGAGAAAATTGTGCGTGCGCACACACACACACACAAAGTGCCACAGTAATGATCGTATGAACTAATGGATTCCTTTTCAAATGACACCCAAAAAATCAAAACCTGTATGAAGGTAGACAGTGATGTTAAAACATGCTTGAAGAATCTACGGTAGAAAACTGGAGGAAAGAAATGAGACTGCATGTTCCTAGATGTGAATTACCAATCCAATGATGGTGAGTAAACCTGCTCTGGTGCCACCTCAAGTCTTTATCTCTGGAGTGGGTTCACAGCACAGCATCAGTGTGTACAATCAGCACTGAGATCATTGAAATAATTTAGTTGCTAGATTATAGCACTGAGCATCTAAGTAACGCAAGAGCAAGACCTGAGGTACCTGACCACAAATTCATAAATAAAATATACTGTCATGTAGACGTGGAGAAAGCTTTTCTCAAGGAATAGCCTGGAGAACGTTGAGTTAATGTAACATGTAGAATGACAGAGATCCTGGAGGGGCTGGAGGTACTGATGCAGTACAAATTGAAAATCAAATTGTTAAGCCAGGCAGCGTCTTCAGCAGGCAACCTCATCACATGCTGCTGTACTGAAACTTCTGCTACTAATTTTTAGTGTGTATAAGACAGAAGCCTTTGCTGATACTTGTTTTGTATTAATGTAACTCCCAATTATAAGTATCCTAAACTCAAAATTGTCCTTTATTTGAGAGTTAAAAGCACACATTCTCTGAATACAGTCCACACTCCTTTGATTATTGTTTTTGCCCATCCAGGATTAATAAACTAATATGATGTTTGAGGTTTCCCTTTGGTTTTTCTGAATAATTGATTCCTTTATTACACATTTTACAGGTCTGTGATTCAAGTTGTTGACCTAGGTGCCTTTTCTATGAAACTAGGCTTGAAAAGTGCACCCTTTTCAAGGGTGTCATCAAGAGTCATCAGTGGGTCCATCTTCTCTTTATAGTTCAGTGCGTTTGGTTAGGCTGCTTTTCATCCATTAACAGTCACAGTTATAAATGCTATAACAAAACACATTGTCCTCACTAGAAATATATGTATTTGTAATGCCAAGTCCACATATTACTGGGAAAAGTAATATTAGCAGACTTGGGGTTTCACTGTATCTCTCAGACAGTCATAAAACATGCTTTAAAAAGGCTTTCTTGACAGGTTGGAAACATCACTTGAGTCCTGCCTCCACTACTGTCTTGTGCAGTTATATCTTTCCTGGCTGCTGCTTTACACAAGAAGTTTCTTCCTATACTAAATATACCCCAAGTGTTTTCATTCAGATTACAGGGCTTAATAGAACAACACACAAATATGTGTTTGATTACTGTTGCTATACATGCAGTAGCTTAATAGAACAACGAAACAAAAGTAATTCTGTTCCTGCACTGAGCCCTGAACAAGCTCTTAGCAACCCTTGAACTATGAACCTCTTGGTTTTTAGTGATAGCTTCCCTCTTCTTCCTTCACTGTTTTTAAAATTGCTAGTTATCCTGTGACTAAACTGCCAGGACATGAATGATACTGGGCAGAATTCAGACAAACAAGGAATTCTGTCTATCTAATAATTTCAGAATAGCTTTCATTAAAAAAACATCTTTAAAGGAATAGTCTCAAAAATACACGTAGGATCCAAGTCATCCAGGCCCCTCAGTACCTGATACTGCTCAACAAAAAGAATTTCATGTATTTGAAATATAATTTGGGCCCAGATACCATAAGCATTGTAGACCATTGGTCTACAATTCAATAGATTTCATTAGAAAAAAGAAGCTCCAATTTATTAAAGACATGCTTTTGCTAAGTAAATCCATTTACTTGTATTTGAGCATTGCATTCCATAAATCCTTATCCAGTTTTCCTTCAGTCCCTTCCTTTAAATAATAAAGTTGAACAATAAACACTATCCATATGTTCTTAATTTTATGCATATATCAGTTAATTATATTATGTCTATGAGTAACTTGTTAAATTTTATTTTTGAATATAATTATCTTATCATTTACACAGAAGATGACTCAGAAAGTAAGTGAAATATCTGTGCTAATGATGTCAAATTAATTTTTGTGTGTCTCTGAAAAAGCCAGAAGTCATCATCTGAAGTATCTATTTTTATGATACATTAAATCAGTCAAACGGTAAAAGTGAAAGTATCAGTGGAAGAACCTGGTGGATACTATAAATATTTATTAAAATCATCAAGTAATCTAACAGGTTATTTGCATTTTGGATTAAACAATCCACATATACCCTTCAAAGTTTTCAAAGTAAAGAAATAACAACCCTTGCAGTGTTTCCTCTTACGGGCTGGTTTTTTTTGGCTTTTAGAACACTGGCATTAGAATTATTTTCCTGCTAAAACCTTGAAAAAGCTGACTACCAAGATTTTCATTCCATTAAAACTGAAACACTGGCACACAAACATGTATTTGATTAGAGTTGGAGTAAGCGTGAGGCTAGCAAATGGAATCTGTGAAATGACCAAATATCATAATTTTCTTATGCTAATCCTTCATTTGAAAGACTGTAATTTGGGAATAATATCTTCCTCTGTGCCAAGCACAGCAATAGCCTCTCAGATGCTAAAATCTGGATTAAAAACTCCACTCTAAATGACTACTGTTAATAAGACTAGCTGTCTCACATTAGGCCAGCAAAGATACTTGTCCAAATCAAAAACGTGGGGCTCCCATGGTAGGAGAGGCAGAAACAACAGGGCTAATGGCACCACTTCAGCATCAGCTAGAGATTATTTTCTGCAGCTTTTGAAGGAAAAAGAGTAGCTACTCTATGCTGATGTCGTCAGACAGTTACCTCAACTCAAACTACCACTGTCCTGAGAAGGAAAGGAATACAGAGAGAGTGTATGCAGGAAGAGTCTAATGAAATGAGTCATCTTAACTCCCTCTCTTAGTATTTGGGAAGTTTTTTTGAAAAATTCAGGTTGTTTTTTTTTTGAAGTGAAGATAAATTTAAGTTACTATGCTCTGACCAAATTCCAAATTGGGTAATGCTGCGTTCAATTTATCCCAAAAGAAAAGGATGGATAAATACTAGTTTGTTGTGAAGATGATCTAAAATAAAATATTTTTATCGAAATGTCTCATGGCATTTATGCACAGAGGATAATTTCACAAAGAAAAACCTATCCTCTTATCTGCTGAAATGTTTTGAAATATTTTTTTACAGTTATAGGTTATTATCTTTTAAAAACTGATATTTACTTTGTTTTTCCTGGCATCTTTACATTATTTTTTACTGCTTTAAAAATATTTGAATAAGAAACAGAACTCCAAAAAGAAAAAAAAGTCCCAAAATGTCACCGCTGTAATTCAAAGTGGCAAATGCAATGTAATGCAGAGTTAATTGAGATATCTAAAGAGATATCCAGTCACAACTGTCCAAGGGGTCCTAAGCCAAGGAATTCGTGAATGTTGGTTCCACAAAAGTAGGTATATCCAAGGAGAGGAGTTACCTCCTCAAAGCTAAAAACAGCCTCCAGCATTTAGCACCTACTCAGAACTTGCCTCTTCTTTAAACTGTAATCTACTAATTTAAACTATGATAATTTGTGTTTACAGGTCCTAACTGACTAATATGTAGGGTTTGTTTTCCTTTTTTCCATT